AGTAACTGGAGCTGATAAATTATGATCATAATGTATAATATCCTTGGAAAGGTTTGCAAGTTACCAGAAGGTGATCAACATTGCACCACCAGCAGCCTACATCTGACAAAAATTATATATTGCATGCACATTATTAGTAGGACCATCCACATTAAAATGTGAAAGTTTTGTGCATGAAAAAGGGCCATTATACTTCCCTCCCCTAAGCTCCACCATGTAAAAACAAAGACCTGACCTGAGTAAGGTCGTGAGAGGGGGTTGTGGTGCCAAATCAGAATATGCAGAACTGGGAAGTGTGGAGCCAGCCCCAAACTCTACAAATCTCTACTTGCCAGTATTGAAGAGTAAAAAATGATATGATTACAGTCTCAAACCTACTTCCTTATTTATTAATCTAAGTATTTAGTGCATTTTATCAATACAAAATGTCAATTTCCAACTGCCCTTACATTAATTAACATGATATGATTAATTATATTACACAACATATTCTGTTCATTTTGATAGGATGCGAACAATTTTACATTTTCCTATATTTTTCACCAGTACTGTGTAGGAATGAGTATTCTTGCTGCAATCCATGTCTGGATGTGTCCTGAGTGCTAGTAGGTAGTCAGGAGTAGCTGACATGGTTGGAGTCAATTAGTATCTTGATGCTTTAACCATGTGTAGACGGTGTGCTGAGGGCCAACAGTGAGTCAGGAGGAGCTAACATGGTTGGAGTCTATTGACGCTTTAACCATGTGCACACTATGAGCTGAGAGCTAATGGAGTAGCTGACATGTTTTATAACAGCAGCATTATTATTAATATTTGTAATGCACCAAATTCCTCAGCGCTGTACAATGGGTGGACTAACAGACACATATTTGTAACCAGACGAGTTGGCCGCACAGGATCATTGCATCAGTATTGCAGCTCTGTGTAATCCATCACAGTGATCCTGGCTGTGTGGGATAGCAATAAGTAGGGTTGTGCATGGGCAAAACATTTGGTTCGGAAATTCGGGTAAGTAAAAAAAAAAAAAAAAAAAAATTGTCTGCTTCTGCAATTTGGACCAATGGCATTCGGTTCAGTTCAGCACTTCGGAACTGTGGAACTTTGGCATTTCGGACATTCATAGGCATCCAAATGTCTGAATGTCATGAAATTTTTACGAATGTACATTCGGAGCACAACTAATTGCACATGTCTACTGGTCACATGAATGCAAGCCAACACCCTGACAGTCTGATTTATATACTATCCCAACTCAATGACTCTGTGTGCCTTCATTGACCAAGTGTCAGTGACAAAATCACCATTAATTGGCTGTCTTCTAACATCAATCACAAAAATGGGCTAATTTCATTGGACAGGGAGTAGTGAAACCGGATTGGGCATGCAAGCATTTCATTGCACAAAAGGAATTAGCTTATTGGTTAAAATTCCTGTCATCATTAACATAATTTTACCTCCCTCTATCTTGTTTTGCAACTTTTTAGAAATCTGAATCACATCGGCACTTCTGAGCTTCGGCACTTCAGAAGTACCAAACTTCGGCACATGTCATGAAATGCGTATTGTACATTCGGAACAAAACTAATTGCACATGTCTAGAAATAAGTATTTCCTTATTGAGCTCAGTTCTGTATTATACTCAGCTCTACCTGTAGTAGGAATATATCTTCATTCTACCCAGCTCTGTGTATTGTATAGGTATCTTTGTGTTGTGCAAAGCTCTGTAAATGATATGTCTATTTTTTTCTCAGCTCAACGTGAGGTATAGTTATCTCTGTATTGTGCTTGGGTCAGTGTATTTTATAGATATTTTTATGTTGTTTTATTGTATGAGCATCACTGTATTATGCTTAGCCCTCTGTATTGTATAAGTATCTCTCTACAGAATTGGAAAGAGCAAAATTCTGGGGAAGGAGTCTGGCGCGCCCCCTCCCCCCATCTTCCACTGAAACCTACTCGCTTTGTATTTCTGTGTCCTTTATCTAAAACTCAGGGCTTCTTGGAGAAGGAAGTTGGCCAAGGCATTTTGATACATATTTCAACTTGTGTCAGTGTTCCATTTCATAGGAATAAATTTTTATTCTAAGACATTAACCATTTCAAAGAATACTACAGTGGATTTTTTATTATTATTCTCTAACCCAGAGGGTCCATTGGGCCATTGAGATTTCATTATCTCTCCCAATTTTTTTTTTTTTTAAATGCTCTTAAAATAACACTTTACTAACCTGCAATCTTCAAGAAGTCACCCAGAGCAAATCCTTGGTCCCAAGTCTTCTTCCAGATGCTGCAGAAGACTCCAAGCAATCTTCACGGAGAGAGATGATTATCTCACTCACATTTGGCTCTGGCATTGGAAATGGACACGCCATGCTGGGCTCACAGCACTACCAAGTTTTACTATAGTACAATGCAGATGCACTCACATCGGAACTGCCTGCATTGTACTGATAAAACATGTTGTCTCTGAAACGGCAATGTATTACAATCTGGGAGCAAAACAGCAAAATCAATGCACCAACACCACTTCACTGATAGGAAGTGGTCTAGGGGCTTACAGTATCCGTTTAATGCTTTTTTTTAATGTCCAGAATTTCTTATTGAAGCTTGAGGTGTGTGGTAACAAATACTTGCCATCTTTTGTCTTTGTGCAAATTTGTGAAAGAAGCCACTGTGAACAGCCAAGTCCAGCCCCATAGCTTGAGAGGGTGATGCTTTCAATATTCCTTCTCCTCTCTACTGAGAGTACCAGAAATTATATTTTTAAATACACAACTTTCTGTTATCTCGTCTCCTGTGACAACTCGATCTTCAAGGTACTTCATCAGCCCTCTGACCAGAGATTTTGGGTTTCCCCTTACTGCTTTAAAATGTGCCAAAAGGCTGAGATGTTTTTAATAATAGTATATTGTCAAATACATGTCTTGGTAGCAAATTTCTGCACCGGGTCCAGAAAAATTATCCAAATATAACCAGAACTAAAACCACATTTTTCATACAAAATATATTAACATATTACGCTGCTTAACCCCTTAAGGACACATGACATGTGTGACATGTCATGATTCCCTTTTATTCCAGAAGTTTGGTCCTTAAGGGGTTAAAGACATTAAAACCACACCAGTCAATGAAAGCTGTCAAACAGGATCACACAGAAAATGTCCAGATAGACATCATGGATCCGGTCAGCTTGAAAAATACCTCCTAAATGCCAGGTGCTAAAATTATCCACATACTATGATAATATGGAATATTTTGCTACCAAGGCAATTTTATAAAGTGTGAATTCACAGTAGGAAAACCGTAATGTGCAAGGCATACAGTGAGGGAAAAAGGTATTTGATCCCCTGCTGATTTTGAACGTTTGCCCACTGACAAAGATATGATCAGTCTATAATTTTAATGGTAGGTGTATTTTAACAGTGATAGATGGGGGGCGGAGCCTGACCTTACACGAAGATGGCCGCATAATCCCAGAGCTCCGCTGAAGGCCCGCCACAATCACAAGCAATGGATAGCACAAGTGTCCCCTGATACCCTCTCTCCAACATTCCATTACCTGCAACACCTTTCCACCTAGACCATGACAAGAGGCAGAAAATTGCGAAACCCATCCTATGCGCCACTCTTCCGCGCACGGCCTGAGAAGCCAGCAAATGTCAGACTCTTACTCAGAGACAAGCAGCATCACGCCAATGGACGGCCCACGTGCTCCCCTAGCCAAACAAGACATTCAGGGCTACCTCAGAGACCTAAAGTCTTATGTAGCAGATGAGCTACAAAAACACCTACAGCCCATCACTGACAGCATGGTGGATCTGGCAACCAGGACGCGTGAAGTTGAAGACAAAATGGAGGAGATGGTGGAAGTCAATAACTCTCCTGACAATGACCTGGAATTAAAAGACCAAATCCATTTCCTCGAAGAAGCAAACGAAAACCTGTGTAACAGGATGCGGAGGAATAATATTAGGCCTACCTGAAACTGTGTCACCTGAACTTCTACAGACCACACTGATAGAAGCTTCTGAAACCAAACTCCTCATGGATAGAGCCCACTGGGCCCTCAGAGCACCGACTCCACAATGCTTCCAGACGTTATCATACACATGCACTTTTTCCACATCAAAGAGCATCTGATGCATGCCGCCAGAGACTCACCAGTGTGGGTGGAAGGTACCCCAATCCAATTATTTCAAGACCTAGCATCAGCACACTAAAGAAGCAAAGGGACCTACGCCCCTTCACGCAACTACTCATACAGCACGGATTGTGCTACTCTTGGGGCCACCTCTTTAAACTTACCGTACGTAAGGAAAATAAATTCTACACAATCACATCAAACCCCCAGCACTGTTAGAAAAGCTAGGCCTACCACCAGTAGCCTTCCCTCCACAACAATGCCCACCAGGACAAGGACTGCTAGATCCACTACGGTAACAAGCAGCATCACAAAGCACGAATCGAACATGCACACCCGAGCCTGCAACTCCATCCGCATCTAGAGCCAAGTAACTCCACCACAAAGCAACTTACTAGACACCCAGTCACAAGTATCCTACAATGACCCATCCAGACCGACGGCCACCATAGCACCCATCAATACAGGGAAAACATACCAAACCCACACTTGCACGGACTGAGGGACTCACTGCAACAACTAACACTAGAGAAAAGAAAGCAGCATAATATGGAGCAGAAAATGCACGGACATGGGTGAGGGGGGAGAAATATTTAACTTGTAGATGCTGAGAGAGCTTTGTGTCATTATACTTATTCTTAATATTTTTTTTTAATATATTTCTAGTTTTTTACTTAGCTTTTTATTTAAATATTTTTATTTTTATTTTACTTTGCCTACAGTCTTATCGTTATTAATGCTCACAAAGCACAGATGATGACGAATGGCAACCTCACAGCCTACTAGGGACCACAGACACAGGCTGGACCCCGTGACCACTCCCTCACGACCGGCCAACCCCGCAGCCCCGACAATGAACGCCTACCAACTGCTCAACCAACAGCCACTATTCTCAATCACTGACGGACCCACAATCACCACGTGATCTCTCAGACAGACACCCCACGCCTCCTCATCCCACAAAACCACAACGCACCCATTTGACAGCGACTAACAGAACCTGCAACAATTGCCCCATAGCATTCCTAGACCTAACCAACACCCGAGTCCCAAGACTGGAAGAAATGCAGACCTACCGCTAACTGACACCAGGGTATACTATACAGGTTTTTATATGTCTAGAGACAACATTGTTCTACCTGTTCAAGATGGTTATACAAATATGTCATACTCGTAATGATGATTCAAAATGTTAACACTGTTACTAATGTTTGTTTTTTACAAGGAAGATCCTTTGTCACAATCTGTAGACAGTACTGTTAGAACACAGAGGACTTGCTACACCCATAAGGCCCACCCCCTGCGAGAACTTATCTACTAAAAAGGTATTTGACAATCAAATCTATACCTACTACATACACAGACACACGATCGCACTCCAAATCAAACCATATACATAAGCAACAACAACCTACCCCTTCCGAGGCCTATTACCCTTACCCCACACAACCCTCTCACAGGGCACTACCAACAAGACCTGGCGAGCCGGAGGCAACTGCTACACAACATCAGGGCAGACCAACTCTTTCCGGACTTCCAGAGTCTCTCTCCTAACAGCCATACTCCTTTCTCTAGGAATCAGCAGGACCGTCCGGTCCCAACTATCCAGAGTCTGCAGCTAACCTTTAACTGGCCACACAGATAAGACCAGCCTATCTATCCCTCACGCTCTTCTCTCCATTTAGACTCTCTGCGCTTCACTTACTCCCTTTGGAGGGACAACTACCCACCCCAGCCTACTTTACCTTCCTTCCCCTTGTTCTCTTTCTTTTTTTTTCTCTCCTCACCCCTTTCCTGATACAATCCATTCTCTTCTTCCCCATTCTATATTCTCTATTCTCCCATATCTTATTCCTCCCATATTCTTCCACGCCTGACAACCCCCTCCCTTACCCCGCCCCGACAGGCCAACATGCCACCCACAACGCTCACACTCAAATGCACCTCAATTAACGCCAAAGGCTTAAACATACCTAACAAGAGACACGGTCTAATGCCAACCGTACGGGAGCAGATGTAATTCTCATTCAAGAGATACACTTTACAGACCATCGTTGCTTCCCACTGACCAACAGACGGTACAAATGATACTATCTGGCAAATTCATCAAACCCAAAGAAACAGAGTAGCCATCTTGCTCCGCAACACTAATAAATAAACATATCGGTCCAGAAAGATCCAGGTGGTAGATATCTGTCCTTGACAGGGCAAATTGGAACAAACAAACTAACAATAAGCTCAATCTATCCCCCAGACCACCCAGATTGCTCGTTCTGGGACCTCCTCAAAACCCACATAGTCACCCTGCCCTGCTCCCAACTCATTCTCTGTGGTGATTTTAATGCAACTCATACACCATCGATCGAACAAACTCTTTGCCAACTTCCTCAGGGCCACAAACCTGCTTGACATCTGGCGAGCCCAACATTCCTCCACACTCAACTACTCCTTCTACTCACATGCACACCACTCATACTCCAGAATTGACAACTTTTTAATATCGCCAACCACGCAACCATGGATTGCACATACAGACGTAGGGACTCTTGATCCAACCATGCTGAAATCAGCCTGATGCTTACAATCCCTAACGTAACCAAACCATGGTTGTGGCGTCTAAACCCCATCTTGCTACATGACCAAACCAGAATCCAAACTATCACAAACAATCTCAAAGACTATTTCCACATCAACTCTACACCAGACGCCTCACCCAGCATAATATGGGCAGCCCATAAAACAGTGATTAGAGGCAGGCTTATCTCGCTCAAACCATCTCTCTCACCGAAGCTATGACAGACCTGAGATGTCTGGAAATGCTACACAAAAAACAACCTACTACCCAACTCTTAGAACAACTAACTGCAGCTCAAGACAGGCTAAAATCACTGACAATGCCTGATATAGCTAAAAACCTCATGTGGACCAGACAGGTCTTCTAGGAGAAAGGCAACAAGGCAGACTGCCTACTCCCACACTGCCTTAAAAAAAAAAAAAAAAAAAGGACACAAACAAAATCTCCAAAATCCATACCCTGGCTGACAACATTACTAAAGAACAAGACCCAATAGTGCACACAACTATACAACCAGCCACCCAGCTCGGAGACCCAATCGAACAAAACAGAATAATTTTTTTAACCCCTAACACTTCCCAAATTACCCAATGCAGCACGCAACCTACAGGCAGCAGAAATAGAAACCGAAGAACTCAAGCAGCCCTGCAAATGTGCAAACCGATAGAAAGTCCAGGATCCGATAGGTTCACATCACTTTACTACAAAACTTTCAGTGACCAGCTACTACCACATCTTAGCAAACTTTTCTGTTCACTACTACAGGGGAAAGCACTACCACAAGAAATGCTAGCAGCAAGCACATGCCCCTTTCCCAAGCCGGAGAAAGCACATTTGGATCCAGGACAATCCCAACTTAATAAAGACATCAAACTAATCACCAAAGTCCTAGCAAACCGACTCAACCCATTCCTAAACAGACTCATACACCCGGACCAAGTGGGATTCATCCCCAGATGACAAGCAGCAGACAACACACGCCGCACAATTGATACTATATTGTATGCACTGAAACACAAACTGCCCACCGCCATAATATTGTGAGATGCCGAAAAAGCGTTCTATCGTCTGTAATGGCCCTTCCTGTTCCAGGTCCTAACTCACCTGGGCTTCCTGGTAGAATTCCTGAATATACTCACTACACTGTACGACCAACCCAGCGGACGACTTCTACTCCCCAATGTCAACGCACCATCATTCTCTATCTCCAATGCCACACTCCAAGGATGCCCCTTGTCCCCTGCATATGACACATACTCCCACTTCGGGTCACAACGAACCACATGTATTTGGGAGTCCACCTCTCCACTAACCTAGAGGACCTATGCATACTGAACTACACACCACTACTTACCACGGTACATGCAAATCTGCAAAGATAGGACCCCTATCATTTCTGGGTCGAGTGACCACTATTAAAATGAATTTACTCCCCAGGTTCTTATACTTGTTCCCAACTCTACCAATACCTATCATACACAGAGACTTTAAACAATTGCAAGCCTCAATTGACAAATGTATATGGTGAGGCAAAAAAACGCGGGTACACATGGAGGCCTAGGACTGCCTAATTTCATACAGTTCTACCATGCAACACAAACAGCCCAGATCCAGCAATGTCACGTGCCACCCGCAACAAAAAGATGGGTCAAACTCAATATTTTTGGCTGGGAATTCCCCTCACACTACATGTGGGTACCACACATACACAGATCACTTCCACCGCCGACTTTACTAGCAATCACCAACACCCTAACCATATGGAACAAACTGAAAATAAAATCATCCTTCCTCTCTCCACTAACTCCAATCTACCATAACAAAATCTTCCCACCAGGACTAAAACCAAAATTCGAATCCCTAAAGACTCTGCCAAGATGGAGACAGACACACCACACAAGAACCCCTATCCTTCCCCTCACCATACCCTTTTTTTCTTTTCTCTCTCTCTTCCTCCCTCTTCCTCCTCCTGACGCTTTCTCTCCCCCACCCACTCCCTCCCGGGGATGGGTTATGAAGAGACCGGACCCGCTCCCACCAAACACATTCCTGAGCCGGTACAACAACATTTCTCTCTTTCTTTCCCCATCTCCCAATATAACTACTCCTCCCTATCACCTACCTGCTGTACATAGTTACCAATGCCCACTCATTTTCCCCTACAATATAACAACTATAGATACATAACATCAACCGCTCGCATTGAAGCAACAATTCATACTCACGATGGTCCCTGGCGTACCTAGCATATTCCATCTACAGGACAT